TCGCGAGTCGTCATCGGGCCCACGGGAGGCACTGTTGGGGTCAGATGTCAGAGGTCAGTGACCTGGTCGGATGTTGGAGAACAGCAGGGCATGAAAATTCGAACGTCTCGTGGCAACAGGGCGTGCATTCATTCATTTTTAGGATAATTTTCAAATTGTCGCGCTGTGACTTCTGGTGTATGCCTATGCGGCTATGCGACTGAAAGGGGCACCGGTAGCCCCTAGACGTCACCGTTTGCTGCTTCACCTGAGTACGATGTTCATGATCTCGCCGAACAGACCCTCGTGCTCCATTGGGTAGGCCGCTACCTCGCAGATGGCTCGCAGCAGGCACGCCCTGCCGTCCATACCGAACCTGGAGCGGAAGAGGTCCTCCAGTCAGCGGCTGCCGAGCGTCGGCCGGGCCGTACTGAACGGCATACGGCAGCACTGTACTGCAGCAATAAGTAATAACACTGATCTACGTTGACGTAGTTCAGATTAGCGTTGACGTTTATAGGTCTCAGTCAATGTCAATTGTCATGCAGTCATGCAGATGCAGTCATGCAGTCATGCAAGATTGTTACCCACTCAGTAGAGCTCGAGCGCAAAAAAAATCATCGATCGACTCGCTAGAACCTTCGCTCGGTGCTACTTGGACAGCACGCTGCCAACACGCTCTGTGCACCAACCCACGCGCAGACCACCGCCGATCCGCGGTTTCACTGCCTACTTATCCAGAGCGCGGCGGGCCACCTCGAAGACGCCTCCCCTGTCGCGCGCCAGGCCGAGGTTGATGGAGGTGTTGGTGTTGGAGGGCAGCTTCCAGCGCAGCTTGACCGGCAGCTCCAGGAAGTAGGCTGCCGACATGTCCGAGCACTTTGAGGCACTGGTAGCTACCGTCCGAGCACTCAGATCAGAGGTACTCGCAGCTACCGTCTGGACACTCATTCGGAAAGACGAGCGCGACAGAGGTGGAAGTCAACCTGAGACCCTTTCAGCCATATTGGAGTGGGGGGTGGGGTCGTTCGCTCTGCCGTGACGCACCACCTCCACCGGCCACCCCCGCTACCGCTCTGGCAGGCCAGCATGCAAGGCTTATTCTGCCGACAGCACCGAAAAAGCACAGCAAAGCCCGTGGGTGCAACTCCCAGCCCAACTTTGGATGCCTTGCATGCTCGAGCGGCCCGCCGCGGACTGGCCCAACATGGCGGCGGCCGTGCTGCTGTAGGCGGCGGCCATGTTGGAGCAGTAACAGGGGCGGCCGGTGATTGGTGCGTCACCTGGTCATGGTGCCCTCGGCCGATTCATAGAGGCGGGCCAGGTCGACGGCGCTTCTGCCGACCACCAGCGAGCGGGGGATGATCCAGCCCATCGTGTACTGGGCGTAAATGTACTGAACTGAAACGCCACACGACAGCCAACGGTCATTCCGACCGTCACACGGTTGACAAATGGCATCGGCGCATGACGGTTGACAGCAGCACATGACAGTTGACAGCCACACATGGGACAATGGCAGCATCATAGTTCAATACAGTAACGGGAGTTAGGCTCGATTAGTCTATCAGGACAGGTCACCGGGTTAGGCTCGCTGGCCGCTGCAGCCTGCAGTACTCACATAGCTGGCGACACCGGTAGACGGGCAGTAGACGGTCACTTACACAGCTGGCGAGATCATACCTACTCACACATCTGACGGGACCGGTAGACGGGCAGGTAGACGGTTACTCACACAGTTGGCGGGACCGGTATACTGATACAGGCTACAGCTGGCGGGACCGGTGGACGGGTAGTAGACGCCTAGCCTATACGGTTACTCAGATTAGTTAGGCAGTAGACGGCTACTCAGTACTCACACAGCTGACGGGACCGGTAGACGGGCAGGTAGACGTTCGGCTCGATGTAGAGAATCGACCCTGTCGGGAAGCTGAGGAAGCGTTTGTGGCGTGAGTGCGGCGAGTCGGCGGCGCGCCGGTGCCTGGCCAGCCGCCGGCTCCTGTCCGCCTCCACCCGGCCGTGGTACGAGCTCCACGTCTCGTACGGGTTGCTCGGCTTGATCAGCCCCGCCGGCAGCCGGCGGCCCGAGCGGCCCACCGTGCGACCCGAGGGCAGGTCACTGACCTCGGCCGTCAAGTCACTGACCTCGGCCAGCACAGGGGCCCGGGATGGCTGGTCCTCCTCAGTCAGGGCACTAACGTTTGCCGAGTTACTGACTTTGCTTTGACCATCGGACTCCATTTTGTAGGTGCTGCTGGATCGAACATTTTCTCTTGATGCCTCCTCAGCCTGAGGCCCGTCAGAAACTTTGAACAAATCGCCAATGTGCGTCATGTCGCCGAGCTTCAGCAGGTCCTGTAGCCTGGCGAGGTCGCCAGATCGTGTCAGCCCTCCCGCCTTCCTCTGCCCGGCCGGGTCCGAGGTGGCGACCTTGTTCAGGTCGCCGAGACTGGCCTGGAGGCCGGCGTCGGGCGCCGGGGCCCCGCCGCTCCAGCTGCCCAGTCGGCTGGGCGCCGTTAGGTCGCCAATGGTGCTCAGGTCGCCGATGGCGCTCAGGTCTCCGGCAGATAGCAGCAGGTCCGTGACGGCCGAGCGGCGCGCCGCCGGCGCCGGGGTCGGGCCGGCGAGCAGCACCGCCAGCGCGGGGACCAGAAGGCGGACAGGGCACCTGGCGGCGGCGGAGAGGTCAGACGTCAAACTTTGTGCCGGACTCCGGAGCGGACGGACACGTCAGACCTTGTACCGGAGCAGACAGCGACAGACTTCAATCAGGTGCCGAATGTCATATTTTTTAGGCGTGGAAGGCTTTGAAGACATTAGCATTTAACTTTGAACGACGCTTCTGACTACGAACTCACCTCATATCTAACCGCCGATGAAGCTCCGCCGTTGTCTTGGGGCCCTTCACTGCGCTGCGTCGGTCACCGTCTCACTCGAGCTAAGGTTATGATCGACACGGACAATTGGGAGACTGACCGCTGCCGGCGCCGGTGCTGCCTTTTATCGTTCACCTGGGCTGGGGTGCGTGAGTACAGACGATCCCCAGCTGCATATCCGGGGACTGGTCGCCGTTTAGACTGGTCTGGACATCGTCTGCGTGTCGGCTCGGTCGCCAGTCACACTTTCAGTAGGGCTCGGTCACGGCACTGAATCCATTCCACGCCCGAAACGGGACGATACACTAAAGTTCCTTGGCCAAAATGGCTATAACCTTCACACTTATTCGGTTTCTTACAAATAATTCGCGACAATCGTACCTTATGCACAAAGTCCAGAGAGCACCGTATCATGGGCCAGCTGCGAAGGTCTGCAACAGCTTCAGACCGATACATACGGTTTTATAAATGTTGCTCATTGGTACAATGTTCACATCAGTGTCTCATGCCATGCTGCTTAGATTAATACACCTTGGAAGTGGTCAGACCAGAAATGTATTTTTCATACCATGCTCTACAAGGAAATGACATTGCACATTGTCTCTATTTAACGGTAAGGTATTCAACATCATAACAAAATAACATCCTCATATATTAAAATTTTACCGCATATTTAGGTACCATTATATGTGATGCCTAAATCGACATCAGTTATAATATATAACTTAACCCGCGCCCGGCTGGGGGTCCTGGATTTCCACGCCCTGCTGGGGGGGGGTGTTTGAACACCCCCCCTTCTAACTCGGCTCCTGGGCCACGTAGCGATACGCGGAAGGCGGCGTTCGAAAGAGCGTCAAAAATAATGAGGAAATCACTTCAGTCAATTTTTTGGTCAGGTCAAAGGTCAGGTCACCAGAGGTCATTGAAGGCAAAATTTCGCCGATTTCCAGGTCGAATGTCGACAATTTCCAAGAAGCCAGCGCATAACTCGGGAACCAATAGAGCTACAGCGCCGCGGAAAAGCGCATTCGATAGCCCTATTAACGCCCTTTCTGAGTAATTTTCTCAGATTTGACCTAACGTCAACGGTTTTGCCTGCAGGGGTCAAAAACTGCAAAAATAGCCGATTTTTTCGGAAACAGTTTTTCTGCAATAACTTTTGACCCAGACCTTGTACGAGCTTACTTTTACCGGCATCGTGTTCCTCTCGTCAAGACGCATCGAATGAACCATAACTTGACCTTTAAAGGTCAACTTGAAAATTTGACCTCAGGTCAAGGTCATGACCTGACCGGAAAGGGTCATGTTGCATATCAGTCGATCCGTATCGTCGAGCTGAACACATCTAAGGCGTTTTCATCGCTCTAGCATGCCCCTATCAAAAGTTATTTGCGAAAAATTGTTAGATACCATTCGTGACCTAAGATGACCTCAGGGCATAAACAGGGGTCACGGACACCATTTTCATGTTCAGTGTGTCTAAACCACTTGTAATTCAGTGTTTGGGAGTGTTTATAATGTCTTTCGTCCAAAAGAGGCGCATTTCAATTTTCTCCCATTGACTTATAATGGGGAGGTCGCAAAATTGACCTGACCTTAGGTCATCGATATCAAAATTCTGAGATATACATTTTGTACATGCTATTGCTCTTAGCAATCGCTGAAAGTTTCAAAGCGATCGGTCACTCGGTGTAGCTATGACGGACATTGAAACTTTTTATGAGGTGAGGTCACTTCAAGTGACCTGGTGACCTGACCTTGAATGACCTTGGTCTGAAATTTTCACAACATGTGTAGAATTGATGTATGATAAGGTGTACCAAAAACGGCGGCGCGGAGCGCCGCCGTTTTTGAGATATTTGCGAAAAACCACAAGGGGGGGTGTTCAAACACCCCCCCCCAGCAGGGCGCGGGTTAAGATATAGCTCAACATGAGGTAACATATGATCAACAACTGCACATAACAACATAGCAATGCGCTCATCTCTCGCTGCACATTCCACTTACATTCACCCATCCTCGGAGCGAAAATCACGCTATCTCTCGCAGCCACCGTCGCCCGGCGCTGGCAGGTAGCGAAGCGGCCTCAGGCGTGCAGCTGTCTAAAGAGTGACACGGGTCGCAGCCTCAGGCGTGCAGCTGACCTCAGGCGTGCATCTGTTTAAATAGCGACACGGGACATTGGCTGAAGGCGGCCTGGCAGCTGCGGCCGGACGCCCCCAGCCGCTCCGCCTCTCGGTACTCGTCCAGCTCGTCCGGCGCGCCGTCACGTGTGACTCGGTCTGTAACACCGCCGGACAGGGAGCACTGGTCAGGGGGCAGACCAGAGAACACCACCAGACAGGGAGCACTGGAGTCAGGGAACGCCGTTTATGGAGCATCAACTTTAGGCAGCATGGTCAAAAGACTGTGATGCCAAGGCCAAGGAACATCGTTTGAGAACGTGAGTCGTGACGTTTATGCATAGCATACCAATCGTCACGGAATAATCCCGTCCTGGTCCCGTGCGACAGGCACCGCCTGCAATGAGACTGTCTACACCAAACCGCTTAAACGGTCACCCCGGAGGGGACCGCTTCCACAGTTAATTAGAGCAAAACCTACTCTCGCTGGTTGCTGACGCGGTAAGTGAGCAATGTCTTATAGAACAGATCATCGAGTTCAAATTCGTTCAGCTTGAACTAAACCATTTTAATGGACTGGCCGAAATTGCCGTCCCGCCGGCGTCTGACAGCTGCACTCACATGAGCGCCATGTTGAGCAGCTCGCCGATCAGGCCGTCGTGCAGCAGCGGGCTGCCAGTGATCTCGCAAATGGTCTTCAGCAAACACGACTTGCCTTCCAGCCCCAGCCTGAAAATCGGCCACACGTGTCTGAGTTTGTAAGCAACATTTAACTGTATGTTTTCATAATGTGATTGTAACATAAGGAACTAAAAACAATTAAAATCCAGAAGTTGAATAATATCATTTAGCCATTAACGCCCTAAGAAGAACGAAATAAGTAGCTTTGAGATGGCATCAATTGAATACAGGGTCACACCTGCTAAAGATGCCGGAGACGCTCTTGTAGACGGCCTTTTTGTCGCGCACCATGCGCTTCTGGCGGCGGTGCGCCAGCCAGGCGTCGTAGTCGAATCCCGAGTCGTAGAAGGGTCCGTCCGAGCGCGTCTCACCCACCTCCGACTCGGTGCTGCCCGGAAACCGGTACAGAAACTCCGTCTCCACCACAAAGTCCAGCTCTGGAACGGACGTGACCTGGATCAGCGGACAAGATGGAGCAATACATAAAATGTCCCCTTTCCCCGCTACTCTTCAGACCTTCCAAGAATATTTCGCACTCGCGAACCAGCGTCTTGTGACAGAGTCTTACAACAATATTTATATGATATTCAGGGCAGCTTTGAACTTACTATGAGCTTATATCTACTTCATTAGGTCGCTATATTATCCCTCGCATGTGTGCGGCGTTTGCCAGCTTCTAATGTGTAGGGGGGGGGGGGGGGGTCGGTTGGACCCCCCTTGCCGTTTGGCCCCTGATCGAGCTAGAGCTTCGCGGAAAAAACGAGCGTGTTTCCCGTGATGAGAGGAAGCCGATGATACCCAGTTTTAAGGTCCTAGGTTATTGGTTGACCTTCCAGGTCAGGTCAATGACCCAAAGTCGGGAAAATCGGGACCTATTAGAAAGTCGTAAAGTGTGGCGGCTAACGGGTTTTTCGGGGTGCTGATCACGAATATCGTGTTAGTTTTGATCACAGATGATGTCTTTAAGCATTTAGACCAGGTCGGGTCAGGTCAGGTCAGGTCAACCAGTAGGGGTTGTGACGGGTATTCGTAGTACGTGTCAACCGCCTCTGACAGCTTCGTAACATTTTACGAAGGCACCAAAACTACTTCGTAAATGTTCAAATGGTTGCTAAATTCGAATTCAGCTCCGAAAACTAGCCTAGAAACATGTAAAACTCGAAAAAGTGAACCGAGGTCACCCGAGGTCACCAAAGGTCAATGACCTGACCTGACCTTCAGGTGACCTTGACACCCATTCTAATGCATGGGAGCAACATCAAATCACATGTTTGAGCGTTTGAAACCACGAAAAGCTTGCAAACGCGCGGCTAATGCGAGCCGACATACGCGGAATCGCGATTCCGGCCAAACATGGTCTCGGAAAGAGGTCACAGGTCAAAGGACATTTGGGTCAGGGTCATGAAATTTTCAGGGTAGGTGTAAAATTGATCAATGAGAGGGTACTGAAAGTTTCGTCGCGATCGGCCGCTTTTTACGCGAGTTATTTGCGAAAAACCATGGGGGGGTCCATCCGACCCCCCCCCCCCCTACACATGCGAGGGTTATGTATAGCTGGGCAGTGGGCAACTCACCCTCGTCATCCTCGCCCTGGTAGAGCAGCCAGCCGAACTTTGGGATGACGCCGATCACGGACCCCTCTGGCACGGCCAGCGTCTGCCTGCGCTTCCTCCCGGCCCGGTGAGGCACCTCCGACACGGCAGCAGCGGGTACCGAGCTGTTGGACGGAGCTGCCGCTGCCAGCCGGCGGGCAGCTGCCGAGCGGCGCAGTCCAGACGGCCTGCGGGGAGGAGGCGGGGAGGGACCAAAGAGGGAGGGTGAACGGAGTGAGACGGAGCTGCCGCGCCCAGCCAGTGCAGCGGCTGCCACCGATACGGTTGGGTGCCGCTCCGAGCAGTGGGTGCCGCGCTGTCGGTAGTGGGTGCCGCTCTGAGTAGAGCGGGTAAAGTCTCGTGAGGTGGGCGGGGCTCGGTGTAGGCTGGGGAGGAGGTTCAGTTTCATGCCACCACATACATTGGCTGACCGACACAAAAGTGGAACTGCCAACCATTCAATGAATACGGTAGCACACGTAGCAGACCGCGGGGCGATTCGGTAAACCGGAGCGGGCGGCAGCCCACGCAGGGTCTGATGTCAGATGTCCGATGTCAGCGGCTTGTTTCACCGCGAGCACAATACAGGCTATTTTACTGATAAATGCCAGGTCATTATGCCGTTCTGGAAACGCCGCCGCCCCGCGATTCGCGAACCACAAATATCGGCGGATTTTGCCTCGGTGGTGAAAAAGTCATCGGTGAGTAGGAAACTCTGCTGAATCACTCTGTCATTGATGTCTTCTGGGATCGACCCCGGTGGAACCGTTAGCGTTCATTCAGAAAAGATGCCGATTTCACAATTTTAGGATTCACCTCAGACCTCCGTCGATCTTAACGGGACTATCCCACCTTTAACATGGGGTTTGAGTTGAGATAGCCAAGTTTGCGGCGAGGTTCAGAAACCACTATCTATCTAGGTTGCAACCCCCGCGGCCTCTTGGTGTTGAAGAAATTCGTTCCCTTCATTTGAAAATGGGCCTTGTACAAGGCCCTATCTTCAACATGGAGCGACCGTTAGTGTGACGTCACCTCGTTTAGTCATTCTGATTTAAATGGGTTTGTTCGTTGAAAAATCGCTTAAAACTTGGTCTGAACTTTGTTGTGGTGCCTACAGAGTAAAAAGAATCAGCTTTATGACAGTAATGTGGCCTGGGGAAGGAGGTAATATTGGGCTGTGACGTCACATATTTGAAAGTTTGTGTTTGGAATATGGGAAGCCTAAGATATTTAATGAAAAATAAATGCCAGAACCGTGTTCCTGGTCATCCAATCTATTAAGTCGGGCACAATTTAACTGGTTTTAACAACATTTTAGAAGGTGGGATAGTCCCTTTAAGTAATGCATAATCCGAAAGGGAACGCACGTATTTACCTGCCGGATGTGAATCTCATCTGTGATATTTACATCCAAACTACGGGGTCCTAAGACGAGGCGGCTCATCGCCGGTGTGCCAAATGTGGTTGTGAGTGCCACTGCTAATGAAAGCTATCCATATTCCGATTTGCTTTTCCATACAAAGCAATGCTGCGTTTGTTTATGCGTTTAACACGGGCACCGACGGGGGGCGGATATCCGCCCCCCTGAGGTTTTTCGCGAAAAGCGGGAAAACCGCGGCGCTACGCGCCGCGAAATTTGGTACGACTATTCTCTCATCAATTTTAAACATGGTGTGCAAGTTTGAACCTCTTAACTTTTAAGGTCAGGTCACCAGGTCACTTTGAATGACCCAACCTCAAGTCACTTTTTTGCAACTTTGTCACCGTGCCAGAGCTACAGTAGATGTCGGAGGCCTTTGAAAGTCGCAGGATGTTATGAGGTCATTAGTAGCTACAATTTGTGTATCTCGGAATTTTGATATCGATGACCTAAGGTCAGGTCAATTTCTCGACCTCCCCATTATAAGTCAATGGGGAAAAATCAACTCCCTGTTTTTACCACTAAAACGGGTCGGAATGGCCCCATAAACCATACATGACCTCATATACGATCAACCTTCACTACCTTGAGGTCTGTTTTGCTGTTGGGCAGCTGTAAGGTCATGTGACGTCATCAAAGGTCACCAGCGTTTTTTTTTACAATAACTCCGTACAAAAACAAGATATAGCCGCGCGGATGGTCTCATTGTGTTCAGCTCGTCAAGGCGCATCGAATGATATACATGATGACCTCGAGGTCACGTGACCTGAGGTCAACCTTTGACCTTGACCTTTCGAGGTCAACATTTATATCATTCGATGCGGATTGACGAGAGGATCACGATGCTGCCCTTAGTTTGTTCCTATATTGACTAGTTCGAAAGTTATTCGAGAAAAACTATCCATACCTAGCGCCGCCATTTTGACTTTTTTTGACCCCTGTGACGTCATCTTTGACCTGACCTGAAAATGACCTTAGTAAAAATTGTAGACTTTGTCCGTGCATATCCCTTGCCGTTTACCGCTTGTCGCTATCTTGCTTCGTTATCGAGATCTCAGGGGGGGGGGGGCGGTCATCCGCCCCCCCCCGTCGGTACGAAGTTGGCGCAGACCCCCGTCGGTGCGAGTGTTAAATCAAAGCTTCTATGCCATGTCACAAAGGTCATGTCATTAACGTTAGAGTAGGTATAGTCGACTACAGTACAGAATGATGTTCCACTTTTCACAGGCAATTATTTGCCTGGAGTGGTAGGCTGTGCCGCATTACACGGGCTGAGTTCACAAGTTATGGCATTGTCCCAATGCTCACAATCGACATGCTTAATTGCGTGATAAACGGCACAACTTAGCGCTCCGGTCAACTGATGGCTTTTGAGGAGTGGAACATCATTCTGTAGTCGACTATACACAAAGCCAATATAGCTGCATAAAACTCATAGCATATATGATCTCAAACATTTGATAGGTGTTTCAGCAGCACCCAGTGGGTCTATGCGACTGGGACCGCTACTAGGGTTTAGGCTTTAGGCTACCGCTAGGGCTTATTAGGATCCCGAATGAACAATGCCTGACCTCAACTGAGTTACGTTACTGAATAAGCTAAATACCGCATGCACCGACAGCACAATACTGGACCCGCAACCGGCACATTAAGCAGTCTGGCGCCATTACTAAACAAGGCGCAACTGCGGGCTAGCCGGAAGACGGGAGATTCGGCGAAAGTCTCGGCCCCAGAGAAGAGTGTGGGGATGGTGTAGCAACAGGAAAACGTCAAAGAGCTGCAAACAAGAGATTGCCATCGAGTTCGGTAATAAGACCCAGTGTGATGGAGCGGTAACTGTATCGTGTATTCCGTGTGCAGTTGTGCAATGTGCATTATGCATGGTATGCTGATGAAGAGCACGATTTGTGCGATACACGGACCCGTCTTTCATGCAATGATGTGTACCTACTGTGTAGGCGACGTAAGTAAGTAGACGAGTCTTTAAATCATGTAGCTATTCGACGACATTTTATGTTGTTCTGCTATTCCCGTCTGAAAGGGATGGATACATTAAAGGGGCTTTTGAAATGTTCATTAGTTTTTAATTCCAGTGTTTGTCGCTTTAGCAGCAGTTCTAGTCATTTAGCAGTGAGAGCACGTCAGCTGCAGCCGAGTTAGGCGTGTCGTTTTTATAACAATTTCTCATCAGTGTTTGGTCATGCCCTTAAATTTGGAATCTGCTTAGATTTGTTGAGCGTCTGGCTAAAGCTACTGATTAAGCGCTGCTGCCAAATTAGTTTTTAGCGACCCATGCATGTTTTTTGTGGTTTACCTCTTCCTGACAATTAAGAACTTTCCGATTCAATGGTAGAGATTGAACTGTTGACAGACCGCCGCACAAGTTTTGTTTCTTGCGGGTCACGTCGTCGATTCGTCCATTCATAGCACTCAGGCAAGATTTCGGATATCATACCTACTTATCAGTGGTCTGGTCTAGATTTTACTTTACGTATTGTACCAATACTTTTGCAGTTTTGTTTTCTAAAATTTTGGAAAACAATGCTTATTACACTTCCCTTGACAACATCCATAAACCCCGTTGTTATACATCCCTACACTGCCTTTCTCGAGGTCTCGTCCTTATTTCTGTCGATGTGCGTAACCGATTTCCCACGGCCCCGTCGGAGCGTTGTGCGTTATGTATGTATAGGGTTTGTCTCAGTGGGAGGTTGGACCCACCTGAACTGCGAGTCGATGAGCCCTCCGACCAGGGCCAGCTGGGCGGACCACAACAGCACCAGCAGTCGATCGGCCACCATCCTGACCCTGAATCCGACCCGTCGACGTCCGTCCACGATCGGCCGCCTCCTCTCGGCGACTGTCGGAGCCCCGTCGGCGCGCTACCACCTCAGATACAGCGGGGCGGCCGTGCGCCGGCCGGGCTGGCCCGTTTGACTGACCCGACCCGGCCGCCGCGGTGGCAGCTCGGAGAGTGGCACTGCCGGGAGCCGCGCCCACTCCACTCCACTCCACTCCATGACTCCACTCTAGTCCCCTCTACTCCACTTCCGGCCAGTCGAGTCCATCTGGCCATCGGCCACAGCAGGAAGATTGTCAAACGGATGTTGCTCGTCCCCGAATATCTTTACCGTTCGACGTTCGTCCGTATAGCGATCTAGTAGCAAGTTATGACTCTGCTGACTTCTGACTCGTCACAAGTCCGCTGACCTGACTCGTCACGACTCCGCTAGCCTGACTCATCACGACTCTGCTGACCTGACTCGTCACGGCTCTACTGATCCGACTCATCGCGACTTTATAACTGACCTGACTTGCCACGAGTCATCTGACCTGACTTGTCACGACTGTATCAGAGCTGAATCGTCAGTCATCACGACCGCTGACTTGCCACGACTTAATTAACCTGACTCGTCACAATTTAGCTGACCTGACTAGTCACCACTCCGCGACCTTTCACGACTCCGCTGACCTGAGTCGTCAGTTGTCACGACTCCGCTGACCGCTGACTCGGTCAGCGGTACGTCACGAGCGTGACTTTGAGAGCGTGCCGCACTGACGCACCTTCACACGTTATGTCATTGCGAGTTACGTCATTCTCAGCAGCGCTTCAGTTACGCGGTGACAAAATCGCATTATGGCGTGATTGAAAGTGTATTTTGCCTAAAAACAACAACATAAGGCGATATGGATATGAAAACGATGCATTAAAATAAATACAAAACAATCATCACAACGCAACAAAAACAACCTGCAGAGGTAGTGAGAGTAGATAGACACTTATAAAGTCTATTTCCGGTGCATCCTATGGTGCCAACCACTGCGCTAAAAAAAATACTCAATTGTCGCTATATTTGCTACAACTGGCCCAGTCGCAATGGTACCTTCTAGCTACGGTAACCGCATAGGCAACCGACGAATATGTGCTCCTTTTCTATTCCTTTCTTGCAAATGTACAAAAATGTTGAAATTAACCTCTACTGTTCTTTAAACCCATCCCGTACCGGAGCACACTTCCCTAGTCCTCTGTTGCCTCCTGCCCGTCCTTGGCAGACCCTTCAGCTCTGCCCGTTCGGGGCCGGCGCCGCTTATCCCTTTTCTCGTGCTCGTCCCTACCCTTCTGCCTGTCCCTCTCGTCCCTGCCCTTCTCCCTCTGCCTGTCGTCCCTGCCATTCTCCCTCTCCCTCTCGTTCCTGCCCTTCTCCCTCTGCCTGTCGTCCCTCCCCTTCTCTCTCTCCCTCTCGTCCTCGCTGCTGTCGTCGGCCACCAGCGAGAAAATGGAGACGGGACAGGACCGGAAGGTGGTGCCGCAGTGGCCGTACTTTCGGCCGTACCGCTCCGCCTGCAGGTACGACTTCAGCTCGGGACGGTCGCCCACGCCGTACGACGCGCTGAAATACACGACACGACACAGCTACTGAACGAGGTTCTCGCATCACTGTCTGTCGGCAGTTAGTAAGCAAGCCAGCGGAAGACATGTGTCCTTTATGTGCTTTGGATTGTTTAACGAAAAATCTATGTGGGGCAAATGTTTTTTTAAGCATTATGCGATTGTGACATCGTTAACAAGGAAAAAACGTGTCATCAGCGTAACCAGGGCTGGACCGGACGATCGTGTCTTGTGCCTTCCAAATCCAATCGTGGCCCCAGTATATCTCGTGGCATTACAAGGCTGTACGACACGACCGTTGGTGCTACCGTTGTGTGCGTGGCTACAGTCTCCATGCCTTGTGGGTGCTGCTGGAAGGTCGACCGACAAAGTCCGTCCACGGCTGGCAAATTGAATGCGCTCCCCTTCTAGCTATCCCTGGCTCCCTCTCTCCCTCTCCCTCTTTCTCCCCCTCCCCCTCTCTCTCTCTCTATTTCTCTCTCTCTCTCTCTCTCTCTCTCTCTCTCTCTCTCTCTCTCTCTCTCTCTCTCTCTCTATCTCTCTCCCTTTGCCAACAGTGCATTACGCACAATCACTAAATAAAACATTGCTCCGGCATTTTAAAGGGGAAGCATGGCCGTTCGAAGTGCTAGGTGTGACAGCATTCGGCCAGCACTGACAACATATGTAACTCACGACAGTAGATAGCTGAGAAAGTCGCCCACGATGCCGTCCTGGTGGTCGGGCGTCTCTCCGACCTCACAGATGGCCCGCAAGGTGCAGGCGCGACCGTCCAGACCGAATCTGCAGCGAAGGGACGGGACGTGCTGGTTACCGAATCGGGAAACCGAGGAAAGGAACACGGTTACTGGCACGGGAGTCTGCAGATCAAGAACACCACACTGGCACGGCATGGCACATCTGTCGATGACTCTTCTTTTCATTCATTCATTCATTCATTCATTCATTCATTCATTCATTCATTCATTCATTCATTCATTCATTCATTCAAGTATTTAGCAACTTTCCTTCAATATTGGTGACATTCGTTGTGCTTGGTGACAGGCACCACTGACCCTTTTTCAGAGACAAGTGGAACTCAACTCACATTCCATCTTTCGAGGAATGGTGCGGAAAAAACGTGCTATTTTGGGCGTGAGCGCCGCTTGAGGACCGTTAGGTCTGGAGTCTGATAGATTGACCCGGCGACTGTGACGAGCCAGTTAATCACTCCACCGTATGGTTCCGGGCGGTCGGGCCATCCATCAAGGGCCGATCGTTGTCGACATTCAGTGCTCATCATAAATGCATGGATATATTCACACACACACACACACACACACACACACACACACACACACACACACACACACACACACACACACACACACACACACACACACACACACACACACACACACACACACACACACACACACACACACACACACACACACACACACACACACACACACACACACACACACACACACACACACACACACACACACACACACACACACACACACACGGGTAAAATGATGCTTAACCCTCGCCGGACCTATTGGTTTTCTACATACGCGCCGGCCGAGGGGGGGCGGGTACGACCCCCCCCCCTCGCCGTTTCGCCCCTGGTGGAGCTAGCGCGTCGCGGAAAAAACGAGCGTGTGCGCCGTTACGAGACGCAGAGATTGGTACCCGATTTTAAGGTCCTAGGTCAACCGGTGACCTCTGAGGTCAGGTCAAGTGCCCCAAGGTACGGTTCAGTTTTTGGTGAATAACTTCGCAAAAAACGGCCGCAGAGCGCCGATTTTGGCAGCATCGTGTTCGTCTCGCTCAGGCGCGTCGAATGATATACTTTTTGTCCGGGTCAGGTCAACTTGGGGTGTTGACCTCAGGTCAAGGTCAGGTCAGCACCCCCAGGTCACGAAGTTGGTCGAAAGAGGTCATGTCGCATATCATTCGATTCGGCAGGTCTTCCTGAGTCCATTGGTGGCTTTCCCGACTCGCTAGCTCAATTTGATCAAGAGTTATTGACGAAAAACTAATATGACCTTGATGACGTCATAAATGACGTCACGCAAGGTCAACATTGCAAAAGTGACGCATCTAACCTTACAAGGAGTGCATAAAATCACGATTCTGTGTGCTTGAGATAGTTGGAGATCGTTCCCGGCGCCAGAATAGCAGTTTTCATTTTTCCCCATTGACTTATAATGGTGAGGTCACGAAAATGACCTGACCTCATATGACCTTTAGGAAAAATCCGAGATATACAAGTTGTGGGACTCATAATGGATACTAGATCCTGCAAGTTTCATTTCCCTGTGACATCTCCTCTGGAAGTGAGGGCGTTGCGAAGTTGCGACATCTGAAGACCGTGCAGAGGTTCACTTATGACGTCATAGGTCAGTGACCTGACCTGACCCAAAAATGCGGTTGGTGTCAAAAGATGCGGCTTGGATCAAAGGTCAGGTATGCCAAGTTTCAGCTCTCTATCGCCAGCGTGTTCGGAGCTATCGCGAAAAAACCCTATGGGGGGGCGGCACCCGCCCCCCCCCCTCGGCCGGCGAGGGTTAAAGTCTCGCCAGATAGTCAGCGGTGAATAATTGGTGAGAAGGCAGAACTGCCCATCAAATTAAATGCCTTGATTGATAAGAAATGCTCCGACCTCCGTAAAGCATTTTTTACTTGAAACGTCAGACGAATAAGCTATTCGTTTTTTATAAATGAGTGATGCTTCTAATTTCTATTCATCGACGATATAGGTGCAGTCACCGGCTCATTAAAAATAAAATCGTAATACGATGTGGCGACGGAATCTCCTTCCGCCTAACTTCATTCATAAGGCTTTTCTCCGGCCTGAATATTTTCTCTTTTCTTTATTTTTTTCTACACCGCCACCCATTAACAGGTGACCAGGATAAATAGAAGAACAAATACTATAAGTATGTATTGTATGAACTCAAAATCGCTCAAAACCTTGCTGTTCCGATATGTGATTACATACATTATGTACAAAAGAGATTGAATGCCCTGCACCAACCCTCTAAATTCAGACGACAGCTAAAAGATAGGAAAAATAGCAGAGGAGAAGAGTACTATGCCTCCCCCTTCAAATGCTTGTTTTCAAATGTAGGTATATGTTTGCCGTCGTCTCTACATGCTCTGGCTTCGCTTTACCTGGTGAATAAGGTCTCCATGCTGGAGTAGATGGTTTGCTTGTCGTACAGCATGCGCGACATCCTGTTGAGGGCACTCTTGCCGGAGGAGGCCGTCTTGGGGAAGGTGTAGTCGATCTCCACCTCGACGCTGACCACCAGCTCTGCCGGACAAACGCGCGCTGAATCCGTGGGTGCATTCAAAGTGGCAATACAAACGACTCAGTAGTCAATTTATCTGGTAAATTCTAATACCGACTAACGACACTCA